CTCTTGGATCTTCAAATCAATGTACACGACTGTAACTGATGTGTCTTGTTGTAAAGTTTCTTTATTCATTAAGTTTAGAATTGAATCTTTAGGAACATGCTTGCTAGGCCCCCAAGTTGCACATTTACTGCAAATTTTTCAATGATTATAAATTTTTTGTCACATCCAGAACTGCCATGTTAAGTTACTATTTAAATCACATGTCAGCCTAGATCTACGATCAACATATCAAAAAAAGATTTAATCTGCAATCACCAAGCTGCAGTGCGTCCAATAAACAGTGAGGATGCTACAACACCTGCATAGTATCCTAGACAGGAAAAAAATTAATGGAAATTGTCATCAAATACCTTTGTTACATTATTTTGTAAATGTGGAAATAACTGAATACTACTGAGAACTTATGGCTAAGAAAAGTGGATAAGAGTGAGTAAATTTATCATTGAGCCTTCTATCAATTAGCACTAGTATTCAGAGATCCTTTGTTGTCAACTATATATAACATATAAATTTAAGGAGAGGAAGCAAATTGAGTATTTGTCCTTGATGCAAATTTGGATGGAGCACATGGTAAAAAACAAAATTAATTACATAGAGATCAAGTCAGTAATTTCATAATCAGTAACTATCAAATCATATCATGTAGAACACTAAAAAAAGCCATGGTATGTCAGCCTGGCATTTTGTAGCTTAGTAACTGAACAAAAACTTTATGGGAATTATAGAAAGAATTATTATGTAACTGCATAGCACCTGTGTCTTCATCTGAGATCCCAAAGCTCTGACAAAAATATAAAGAAAAAAACAAACACATGACAATAAATCTCTGAATAATGACAATTTACAATTTACATATCTTAGACATCAAGTACAAAACAAACATTTTTCATTGGTGTTAAGTTAACAACTTTTAGTGAGCTCAATAATCAAGCTTCCTTCCCCATAATTATAGAGCCTGCTGGCATTTCCTAAAATTTAGCACTATAATCATAATTTCATCTCACCTTCACCATAGCTGGTAAAAATGGAAACAATATGGTGATGGACATTGCAGAACAAAACTGAAAATAAAACAACATTCATCATAGTTGTTTAATTCCTTTATTGCCGAGAAAATGTTGTAATTACCTGTATATGCACCATGGCACTTCTTAAGTTATTTGCACCTCAATGTTCTACTTCCTCAAGGGCAAAAATTATTTGAGAGTGGGGCACATTTAAAATTTGGATGCAGCATACAAAATTTTCATTTTCATTTTCATTTTCATTTTCACCTAAATGAGAATTTTATAGTAATTAACAGATGTGTCTTGATTTTAACCTCTGATCTCTTCT